ATAATTGTAGCACATTATATAATTTATTTTAAATTACAATATCTAAAATTAATAATATAATAATAACAAAAACATAGGTTATATACACAAATCATAATTTATTTTATATATTTTATTCTCAATCACATGAGAATTGATATTATGCATAATTATAAGAGATTATATGATTTATTCTAAATGGTACATTGATATGTACATATACCATGATAATTAAAATATGTAATTTATTTTAAATCATATTATAAATTATAAGAAATTTTATAAGTAACATAACATATATAATTTATATTAGTTTGATATTAAAAATATATATTAATTTGATATTTTCAATAATTTTAATAAGTTATCATTTGTGGTATATTTATATTATTATATTTATTATTTTTATTAGATTAATGCTTTTAAATAAAATTGTACTTGATTTAATCTTGGTTATTTCAAGTTAACTTTTGGGGCAATTTCGAATTTATGTTATTTCGATTTTGGTTCATTTTGAGTTTGAATCAATTCGAGTTTGAATTAATTTGGATTTAGATTGTAAAAAAAAATTATGTAAAAAATATTTTTTAATAATTTTCGCAATTTTAAGCCTCCAATGCCTTATTTTCATGATTGTCTAATTAGATTATATATAAATATCCTATAATCTAACTTCATCATTTTCTTTAGTTTAGCACCTCTTTTTCATATTATTCCTTTTTTGAACTTTTAGATAACTATTAAATTCTTCGTTTAAGGTTTTGACGTATTAGGTTTTATATTAAATATAATATAAAAATAATTTTTGTAATATTTATTTTGGTTTTATAGGTAAAATAAAAACATTCATATAATATACTTTTGGACGCACCATGTCTATTTTGAAATTTGAAAAAAAAAACTCATCACTTTGGGCCATTTCAAGAATTTTTTTGGGCTCATAAAGCTCAAAAATCCATATGCCAAATTCTGCGTCAACTGAAAGGTAGCCCTTTATCAAGGCTGAGCTGTATTTGTCGGTTACAATGTGTCCATACATTCCGGAATCACTTAAAGCCCATTCTCATTGAAACCTAAAACAAAAAAACCAGTAAAATTCTTCCCTCACAATTACCTTCTTTCATCTCTGCAGGTTCCCAAATAATGGCTTTCAACTCTCTCCATGTTTACCGTTGAATGTTGATTTGATTTACTGCCCTCTATAATGCATCAATTAATTATGCTCTGTGATTTTTTTTTTTTTTGCAATTTAATTACATTTTTGGATCTGATAGCATTACAGTGTGATTAAATTTGCTTTTGACTACAAGAGTTCAATTTATCAATGACAGACCAAGTCAATTTCATTTTGGAAAGCATTAAATGTGATCACTCTTTTGTTAACAGGTTAGCTAAGTTTCTCTTATAAATGTCAAAACTTTGGATGATTACGATTCATCTCCTATGATCAACTTATGGATTTTGCCTCAGCACAGGTCTGACCATTTTGGTTAATTCAATTATGTTGAAGAGGTTTCTTTGCCCTAAATTGATGTTTTTTTAGATCAACTTTGTTTTTAATCGAAGTTTTGAATGGGGCATACCCTTTTTCTTAAGGATTTTCCTATTGCAAAATCCTTTAAAAAAAAAAAAAATTGAAATAGCACAATCATCTACGTTTGGTTGATGTGGTTAACCAGCTAGGTTTTTTTTTTTTTTTTTATATATATATTTTTATTGCTTGTACTTAGATATCTCCGTATGCATCTTCTGCATTTATGTCTGAAAAAATAACGGAAATTTCAGGTGTCAAAGGCCTTTTCTTTTCATGTGGTTAAGCCAGTTGTCCATATTATAATATGAACCCAAGAAAAATGGCATCCCATAGTCTTTTGAGGGGCAGAATACCATGCCCTATTAATCGGATCTGCAGCATTTATTACAGAAGTTTCCAGTCTGTTTCTGATGCATTCTTCCAAATAATCATTGTTTCTATTGTTATTACAGAAGTGTCCACCTGCTTTATTGGCTTTACTAGCAGTCTTTGAAGTTTTGTTGATTGTCATATTACGTTCTTCTTTACCTCCTTTTGATTTTATGTTCAATATTTTGTTTATCAGGAAATGCATCTCTAAGGATAATATGTTATAATCTCCGCTTGTGTATGTTCTTTGGCCTCTAACCCTTTTTTTATCTCTATTCCTTGATGATATTCCTTTTTTAGACACATTCCATTCACTGGTATTTTACTTCTGCACTCCTTCACTCGTTACTCCTTGCAGCTTGGAGTCTTACTTGACACGATGCTTCCTCCTCTTGTTCTACCAGTTTTCTCCTATATTTTACTTTATTCTTAAGCTTCTGCACAAGTTAATACAAAGAAAAACATACATCATTGGCTTGTTTCCTATTTTAGAAAATGGACACACATATGCAAAGTCACTCACACAATTGCGTAATCATATTGTTAAATGATGCAGGAGTTCCAATCTTTTAACTTATCTGCTACAGTTTCAGCTAGCAGGATGTTTGTTGCCTTTTTTTTTTCCGTTATTTTCTTCTCTTCTGAAGCTTACACATTTGGAAATTTATGATAGTAGGTCGCAAATGCTATAGTACATTTATATTGCAAATGCAAGGTTCTATAGGAGTTTTCAAGTCTTACATGCTTTAGCTTTAACGACACCATATTCTAGCTGTATTTGTGTGACTTCTTATGTTTTTAGATAAATTACACTCACCTCCCACGTTATTCTGGAGATCTGAAAGTATGATACAGTGGATCCTGAACTTTTAATTTGAACATAAAAGACCCCAATTATTAAATTCATTTCATTGTCCCCTTACTTTTTACATTTATTTGATAATTTGTATAAAATAATTGAATATCTGTGCCAGTTGAAAGTTGATCTGGACAATGGGGGTTGAGCTTGAGGGTGGGTGCACATTGAAGTGTATCTACAAGTTCAAGGTTTTGACTCTTAAACTACGGGGGACTTACTTGCAACTTTCCCTTTATGCTTATGCATCAAAGTGCTGCTACGTTTTGTCCATCAGTCAACCATGTAATTATTTGTCTTTTGTTGTTGGTTGTCATTACTGCTAGCAAAATATAAAATTTATTCTGCCTACTTGTTACAGCTTCAATAACAGGAAGAAGAGCTTGTGGAAATTTCTGAATTTAATCTTGTTAGGAAAACTTTAAATCTGGTTGGATGATTTGTTTTTTCCTTTACTTTGAAATATGTTTTTTTTTACGTTGATAAGTTTATTTCCTTGTTGTGACCCATATCTCTACAACTAATTGCATACAATTATAGTACTGTGTATCCATAAATGTGGTGTTCTCTCCTCGTATTAGATCATGGCGTCCTATGAGTAGAATTCCTCTTGAATAACTATTGTGTTCTTGGCCAGGAATGAGTAGAATTCCTCTTGAAGTTTGGTTTTTATACAATATCTTGCCTAAGCAAGTTTAGTCCAAGGTTAGACAGATAAGTCTTCTCAGCTGCTGATACGGTCCTCTGGTAGGGAAAGTAAGTTACAATAAGTTTCTGTGTCACTGACAAACATAGAAAAGGAAATAGATAGAGAATGGAACAAAAACATTCCGTATCCACATTATACAAGCAGAAACCTCTTGCAAGACGTGAACAACATTTGATATGGAAATAATTTGTTTCTGTATGTTTGCAGAAATTGCCTGATTTGGGCCTGTGCCTCATGCTTGACAATGCTCTCTCTCTCTCTCTCTCTCACACACACACACACACACACATGCACAAAGCAGGGAAAGTGCACAAGCATCTATTTTGACTAAAACCATGTGGGTAAACTTCTACCACTCCTTTTGGTAAGAGAAATAAGTACTTCATCGTAGGTTTTCCTGTTGTTTTAATCTTGGTATATGCTGCAGATTAATTCTTTACAGAAAGAGAATGCTTATGATCAGAAAAGAAATCGTTTTCTCTTCTGGTAACATATTCGGGATTTTGTGCTTTATGCAGGTGCTCAATGTTTTCTTTTTTGTTCTAAACTTTCCATTTCCAGCATCTTTGATGTTTTTTTTATAAACTTAATTATATCAAAATTGAGCCAATCTGACAGCATAATGGGATGTGGAATTGCATAATCCTCCTACATAAATAGTGATTTGTTGCAATAATGCTAATCTGCTTCCCACTTGGACATCGAATCTTCCTTTGTCTCTTGTACTTATTTTATGATGATATCTTCCCCCTTTTTTTTTTAATCATATTAAAGTAGATTATTATAAACTATAAAATATTCAAAGTTTTGTGGGGTCTGAACTCTGACGAAAGAAAGAAAAGAAGCCATTAATTTGGCAAAGAAAATCATATTGTTAGAATGGTTGTAAGGTATACTTTTATAACCATCGTATACTCTTCTTCTACTACAAAAATCACAGCTCGCTTGGCCAACATAGATTGAAGCTTAAGAAAAGGGTTTTGATTTCTTTAACATTCGGTGGGGGGGAATTTTTACTTCAAAGGACAGACCCTAAGAACAAATTAGTCAAAATAAAATGAAAAGCAAAGGTGCTAGAGTTCATCATTTTTTTTAATAAATACTTTCCCTTCTTTGGAAAAAAATTTCTTGTACAAATATTCGTCCTTGATATCGTCCAAAAGGAGATTGTAAAAGTTGTTACTTCTAATTTCTGATGGGAAATGGAATCCAAGTATGAGGCCGTGTTTGAAAAGATAAAATTCTTAGCTTTCTTTGATCAAACATATTGGAAGTAATTTTTTGTTGCTCTAAACAAAAGTCATTTTCCTATTTATGGCATCAATGGAGGTTTTTTTGTTGTTTTGAATTCCTATGCATCAAATATGTTGTTATTGTCCCAAGCATTTGGTCTAGTGACAAAATATGTTTGAGTGAATATCAAAAGTCTGATTTCGAATTAAATTTTTCTCTTTCTCTTTACTTATATTAAGATTTTATCTTTTTAATATAATAATAAAAATTATTATTATTATTATTATTATTACTTTTTAAATAGAACTTCTCTACTTAGTATTGTGGATTTACTGCTATGACTGAATTCGCTTTACTAAAAACACCCCTTGCACCAACGCCGTCCTTTGCCGCTTCAAGTTTTTTGCTTTTAGGTACAATCATTTACCACTATTATGTTTGATCAAAAGCCCCTTTTCAAAATACTAGATTTTTGGTTACCCTGAATTGGATATCTTAAGAGGAGAATGACTAAAAATGAAGAACAAGTTGTGATTAAAGCCACAAGTAAAAAGGTCTCAAAATCTTGTGCTGATGTATAAGTGAGGGGGGCAATATGGTAAAATTGAGACGAACCGATATTCCCATCCACAGACGATCTTGTAATACCGGTAAATCCGTTAAAATCGACAGGTAAGTAACTGCGTATCTTTGTTCTTCTCGATTCTTATTATTTGAAACAGTCTTGCACTTTTATATCCAATTCAGGGAAAACCAAAACCAAGCCCTCCTTCCAATTCTTTTTTTTCCTTCTTTTGAAATTTTTATAAATAAAATTCTTTCTGCTTTCCTCCTCCACAAAACCCTACTTTTTTTTTTTAACTTCATAAAATACCTCTCTTTCTTTTCTCCTTTTCTGCTTCAAAACCAATGTTTTGTTGATCCTTTTTCTTTGGTTTGGTAATTTCATTTTTTTTCTTCTGTGGGTTTTGATTTGTTTCTCATAAAAAAAATGGCAACAAGCAATGATGAGGGAGATAAAGCTGTAGCAAAAACAGAGACATCTCCAACGGAGGAGAAGGTCTTGGGGCCTATAGGAAACCTTGGCAACAATAAGGACTTGTTTCTAAGAGCAGATAAGATAGATTTCAAGAGCTGGGATTTGCAACTGGATAAGCACTTGAGCAGGGCTTGGTCTAGGGACAAAGATATTTCAATTATGACAAAGAAGGAAGAGTGGGAAATTGATTTGGCTAAACTTGATATAAGGCATGTTATAGCTCATGGGACTTACGGCACCGTGTACCGTGGCGTTTATGATAGCCTAGATGTTGCAGGTATCACATATATATATATATATATATATATATATACACACACACACACACACATATATAATATGTTGCCAAAATTCTGAAATCATCTTTTTTATCTTGCTATTTTTTCCCAAGATGAGAATTTTTTGTCTGAATGAAGTAACTTGCTCATTTTGTGTGTGCAAGTGATAAGGCCGTAGGACCGTTATCTTTTCACTTTGAATTAGAAAATTCTAATATTGATTTCAATGTCTTGCTTCTGCTACGAAACTTTCAGTCGAGAACAACTGCTCCATTTCCATTTTTGGTATATCTAGTTTATGCAGAGTTGCCATAGAGCTTCAAAATCGCTTTCTCTTTACAGAGTTCTTTAGATGTCACTACTTAATTTTTGAATTAACTTCAGACCTTCTGAATTTGAGTTGTTTTGAATGCCAAATATTTGTTTTCTAAGGGGTCTTTAATCTATAGTAATGGGGAGTAGCTATATTAGTGCCATGACTTCATTAAATCATGTTTACTTTGTGATGCTTCATTCTAACATTTATGTCAAGGTGCAGTAACGTCAAATAATTTTCTCTATATCACTTTCTGCCTACATGCTGTCCCGATTGGTTTCCCAGGAAAACATCTAACTCAACTGCAATAGTAAAAATAATCATGCTTCACCTGCTGATATCCTAACTGCAAAGAGTTCTTTTTTTTTAGTGAAGGTATTGGATTGGGGAGAGGATGGGATCGCCACAGTTGCTGAAGCTGCTGCTCTTCGGGCATCATTCCGGCAAGAGGTTGCTGTTTGGCATAAGCTTGACCATCCAAATGTTACAAAGGTAAAATAAATTTATAATAAGCTAGGTTAGGCGTATGGTTTCTTTTATGTCAAGATTGGGTTATTTCTCATGTCAATGGCTGGGCACATGCTGGGTGGGGAGCAATTTCATTATACATCTTATATAGGGTGGAGTTAAGTATGGGAAAATGGATCTGCCTTTTTGTTTTCCTTTTTACTGAGCTTTTCTAATGTTGTGATCATTGTTATGCTTGCAATACCATTACATACTTCTTTAAATTTTTGGAATTTCAATGTTCAAATCGTGAATAAGAGGCCTCTTGCAGTTTATTGGAGCTTCAATGGGAACTTCCAATCTTAAGATCCCGACCAATGGTGCAGCAAGTGGGAATAATAATTCTTTTCCTTCCAGAGCATGTTGTGTTGTTGTTGAGTACCTTCTAGGTGGGACGTTAAAGAATTTTTTGATCAGAAACAGGAGGAAGAAACTTGCCTTTAAGGTTGTGATTCAAATTGCTTTGGACCTCTCTAGAGGGTGAGGAATTTTTCAGCTATATTAGGATTTCCAACATTTTCTCTTCAAAAAAATAATGATATCCCTTTTTTCAACTTTTGCAGTTTGAGCTATCTTCACTCCAAAAATATAGTACACCGTGATGTCAAGACAGAAAATATGTTGCTAGATGCTCATAGAACTTTGAAAATTGCTGACTTTGGTGTTGCTCGAGTTGAAGCTCAGAATCCAAGAGACATGACTGGGGAAACAGGCACTCTTGGTTACATGGCTCCAGAGGTATCCACTCCTTGGAGATCCATTGACTGTATAATTTTGTTTCTCCAATAATTATAATAACGATACAAACTTTTCTGGTTAACTACAACAACAATTGGACTAACAAAGTGCCAAAAGTTCCCTTTTTTTTCTGGCTATCTGTTCCTTTTCTCTGAAGAATGAGAATCTAATGCAATGGCTCGTCTAGGTCCTTGATGGGAAGCCTTACAATAGGAAATGTGATGTCTACAGCTTTGGTATATGCTTATGGGAAATATACTGTTGTGACATGCCTTATGCTGATCTTAGTTTCGCTGAAGTTTCATCAGCAGTAGTGCGACAGGTATGAGTTAAAAATTCAAATCTTACATTATTGACTAATCTAGCTTGGAGCATCAATCTTTTGTCATGGCCTCTGCATAAGTGATATTTATGATATTTCCAAATTCCATATATTTGCCTTTCAATTAGCTTTACATCCTTTGTAGCATAATTATCCTAGCTGCACCCGCATTATGGATAAATTGACACATCACATTCGTATCCTATGCAAAATGGGGCTTCAATGTGAACGTGTAGCCAAATCAGTGGACTATTGCACTTGAATCTGTACCCTGCCTCTGATACTTTGTGTTAACGACATTGGAGATTGTTGTTTGCAGAATTTACGACCAGAGATTCCTAGATGTTGCCCAAGTTCATTGGCAAGCATCATGCGAAAATGTTGGGATGCACACCCTGAAAGACGTCCTAACATGGATGAGGTGGTGAGATTGCTAGAAGCAGTAGATACAAGCAAGGGAGGTGGCATGATACCCGATGACCAAGCTCCTGGCTGTTTCTGTTTCACCCCCCGTGGCCCTTGATAAGTTTTAGCACATTCGTTTATTTTGTCCTACATTTCTTTAGTTGAGAGATAACCTGAAGCAGTTCATTGTTTGCCTCTAGCTCGTCTTTCGATAACGAGGTCATTGGTTTCTATATTGCACATGAGCATAACCGTATTAAACACCATGTAGAACCCGTGGTTCAATCCTTCAATTCAGTGCATTGTTTGTTGCATAGTATGTTTGTATTTCGTTTATAATTATTTTAGTGGCATGAATGCCTAAATGATGGGGCTCCAATAAAAGTTAAAACTGTAATAGTTACATCAATTTCTTCCAATAGATTTTTTTTCTTACAGTGAGAATCATCGCAATAACTGGTGAATCCAACAGGGTCATTGGGAAGTTTTTGTGCAAAGCTAAAAGAAGAGAAATCGGTTGTCATTGAAGGAGGGCAAAAAGCGCCAGGAATAATAACCTTCTGGATGAGCATAAAAGTTGATGTAGATAAGATGCATGAACTAGAACATTGGTAATGTTCAGAATCAGAACTTTCCGATATGCAGATACTGATGTTCCACTGGAACCTTGAGTGCCAAGAAACCTTGCTCGCTTTTCCTGGATAGCAACTAGAAGAAACAATATGTCATCCCTTTGCTTGTCGATGAAATGATGAGTTTATTTTTTATGCTGCACTTGAAGGGTAATGGACGAGACAGATTCCAATTCCAAAGCCAAATTCTTACCTGTTTAACTCTATACCCCGATCCTGTGAATTCTTATGATATTATTTTGAAATATATCAGATTTAATTGAAATAAAATATTTGCATTGAAAAATATTTAAATTTGACTCATTTAATAACTCGAATTGTTGGAGTTATGACGTGATAATAATTGAATCATATTCGAATTATTGAGAATACGAATATCTCCTTTACAAATCTAACAGAAGCAAGACAAGTCAAAAGAGCAATGGTGCCCATACTAAACGGTAAGCTCCTAATCAGATGGAAGCTCGCAACATCCCTACGCCGCCATCATTGATGAGGGAATTCCTCCATCAGGCGGGAGGCGCTGCAGTTATCGACGGTGCTTGGCAACGGAGCTGGAATGACACGGCGCTGACGTCAACGATCCCCTCTGGAGTGCCAAGTGCCTCCTCACTTCTCCTCACCTCATTCACTCCGCAAAATTCTCTCTCTCTCTCTCAACACCCTTTTTTTTAACCTTGATTTTATTTTATTTTGGTTCTTTATAACATGTCAATGTTTGTGTGGTTATAGTATGGAATTAATTTTATGTGAATGTAAGTAAGTTTTGAATTTTGTTGGAAAGAAGAGGAATGGCATAGAAGTGAAAAAGGAGTGGTTGAAGGAGGTCTTTTTAGTAATTTGAACTGTTATGCTCTGGCTTTTTATTTATATGGAATTGAATTATGCTCTGATTAATTGCAATAAATTTTCAAATAAAAGAAACGTGATCTGATTTGGGTATATGTATAGCAAACTGGACCACAGTGTGGAGGTGGTATCTAGTGAGTCAGATCAGTGACATTTAACGAAAGTAGTTTCGATACGAGCTACTCTAGATTTAATTTTAGGAATTGGAGTGAGGTATGGGATGGGGCAACTCTAACTACTTATTATTGGTCATGATTCAGTTTTTGTTTCTATTGTTTTGATTAGAATTTTACTGATTCAAATGAGTTAGATGTTACAACTAAATGCTTGAGTTTGGGCCACCATATCGGTTAGTGAAAGAATTGACCTTTCTTTAGCTTGTAGTTCATATCTGTACTGGATCTTTCTCTTTCTCTCAGAAAATATAAAAAGGGAAAAGTAGTAAAGAGGATATTGGGGTTGGGATGTTTTAAAAGCTTATTTAAGAGAAGCTTAGTTCACTTGTAGGCTTCGAAAACCATGTAGTAAGTTTCCATGACCAAAAAGTGCTTGCTAGTTTTCTTTCAAATAAGATGAGTCCTGGGTTTACCTTTTCTTTTTATTCTTTTCGCCAGTAACCTAGGTTTACTTTAATCAACACAATTTAAAGATTGATTATACTAATCTATTTATTAAATGTATTAGGAGTTGGTGACCTGAATAGAATAAGTATGCAAGTCCCAATAAACAAGAATAATGTAAGAATTTGTGGATGGTTAAAAGTTGAGGTGTTGAGCAAGCAAGCCATATTATTCCTTTTCTCTTTTGCACTTGTTCGGTTGACTGGGATTCATCCGGCCAGATCAGAAGATCCATTATATATATATATATATATATATATTGATGTTACTGTAACATCATTTGATTGAAAACTTTGTTATTTCAAGTTATATGCTCATAACGAACAACTCCAATAATTGAATTTCTAGTGTTTCTATGACTTTTCAATATCTCCTAAAAGTGTAATGGTTTTGGAATAGACCACATGGGATGTTAAGAATGCTTCTCTAGATCATTTACCAAACTATTTTGAGCAGGTACACCTTGACTACCTTGAATCTGGTGCAGATATTATTATCACAGCATCCTATCAGGTATTAAAAATAATCTCTCTCTCTCTCTCCCCAACTGGCGAGTTTATGTATCTTTAACAGGCCACCATTCAGGGGTTTGAAGCAAAAGGCTTTTCTAGAGAACAAAGTGAAACCTTGCTTAAAAAAATTGTGGAAATCGCCCTTGAGGCAAGGGATTTGTATTATGAAGTTATACTGATGGAATAGATGGTAAGATATTCAAAATTCGTCCCATCTTAGTTGCAGCATCTGTAGGCAGCTATGGCGCTTATTTGGCTGATGGGTCTGAGTACAGGTGTGTCAACCATCTATGGAAATATTATTAAATAATGTTTAATTCAAATCCAACTTTGTTGCTTCCAGACTTTCTGCCATGATCTGTTATCCTTTTTTGTAAATGAAAATTATTAAATTTGGAGTACGTGCTAACATGTCTCCATCTTTCTGTGTTGTTATATTCTCTATACCAGTGGGGGCTATGGTGATGCAATGACACTAGAAGCTTTGAAAGAATTTCATCGCAGAAGGGTTCAGGTCCTGGCAGAAGCAGGTCCTGACCTAATAGCATTTGAAACTGTTCCGAACAAGATAGAAGCTTGGGTATTGCTGAACTGGTTCTAAATGAAACCTTTTTCTTTAGGATAAAAGTAAGAAGGGTGTGTGTGGGACAAATCCAAGTTGCTAAATTACTTCCTGCCTTGCATGCCCGTAAGATTTCCTGAATTGACTAGTGTGACTGCTAATTGATTCAATGCTCAATTTCTACTTTATTGTTTAATTTGTTTCTTCTTAATATTAACAATTTTTTTTTTTTTGGGGGGGGGGGGGGGTGGTGTCATGCTGGCTTATGCTGAACTCTTAGAGGAAGAAAACATAAAGGTTCCTGCATGGTTGTCTTTCAACTCAAAAGATGGCATCAATGTAGTTAGTGGTGATTCTTTGCTTGAATGTGCATCAATTGCTGAATCATGCAAGCAAGTTGTTGCCGTTGGAATCAACTGCACGCCACCTAGATTTAGTCATGAGCTGATTTTAGCAATTAAGAAGGTTTTGGGTTTTGCTATTCTGTTATTTTATTAATATTCATTCTAGTAGAATTATTATACTCTTTTTTTTTTTTCACCCTTTAGTTGGATATGGTGCACATTGCTGTCTATTTATTCATTTCTAACTGCTCTACTCTTCTCTAATGCTGAAATTTTCATCGTGTGATCTTTTTTACGATATTTGTATTGGGCTTTTTGTAATACAGGACAGTTGCAGTGATATGTTTCATGATTATAGTATTAGAATGTGAATATTGTATGGTGATGGATGCTAATGCAAACATGATACATCCTATTATGCTGAGTTGTTCAGACCGGGTCCTTCCTTTTTTTTAGTTCTTTGTATATGTTTTGAAGAATTTGTTCCTGTAATGCTGTAGTCTAGAAATTTTGATGGATTGTTCACACTTATGTGGTTAACAAATTTGTGCAGATCACTACTAAACCAATAATTATATATCCCAATAGTGGCGAGAGATATGATGCATATTGGAAGGAATGCGAGGTAAGCTTGTTTTCTTGTTCTTTTCCTCTACAAGGCATGAAACATACCTTCCTTAAATTTAAAGGGTCTTAACTCTGAAGGAAAAAATTAGTTGAATCAAAAAGGACTCATTAAAGAAAAACATGATCATTACTAACTAGAATCTTAAGTTGTTGCCAAAAATGATATCAAGAAGCATCTCTTAATTGCTAACTATAAACTTAACAACACGAAATAAAGTGATACCACTTTCTTCAAGTTGTTTGGTTATGATAGCTAGATATGTGAAGTCTCAATTTTCAATCCCGATTTGTGTCCTGATCTTTTTCTTCAACTTCAAACAACACTTAAGGCTCTGTCTGATAAACACTTTTGCTTTTTTTTTTTTTCAAAAAATGAATGGCGAGTAAAAGGCAAAAAATAACGCTTGAATAGAAAACTAAAGATAAATAGCAAAAAGCAAAAGCGTTTACCAAATGAAGCCTAACAAACTTTTATTTCTATTTGGTGCAAAGAAAATGAAGGGAAAAGGAAATTGCAAAATAATTGTAAAGGAAAAAAAAAAAGGAGGCTGAATTATGTTGTTATTATCAATTCGTTTGTTCTCATGTTCAGCTGTGGTGTCTCCAAAGCTTTCAGTCCTCTATTTTTGAGGAAAACTTCCATGGTCTTATTTTGTAATATGCCATACCAGACTTATCTGCATCATTGTTTCTGTGACAGGAAAATACCGGAGTCTCAGATGAAGATTTTGTCTCCTACGTAAACAAATGGTGTGAGGTTGGGGCTTCCCTTGTAAGAGGTTGTTGTAGAACTACTCCGGATACTATCAGAGCCATATACAGGACACTTTCGCATAGATCGGTTGCTGCACCCATTCAGCAATTAATTACAGCAGCTTGATTATATTGCAACCAGAGGTGCCTTAACTTTAAGTTTCTAACTTCTTTCCCAGTTTTAGTCTCAAGAGAATACCTGTCACAAGCTTTGCCTAACATCTGGTCTGAATTGCTGCTGAGATTTTGGTTTCCTGAAGGTCATGCAGCTTGTATGGGGTTGTGTTTTGGATATTGGGGCATTAGAAGCGGCAACAAATCTGAGGGTTTCTAGCCTTCAACTTGGCCAAGAAGCTTTGAGGAAAGCATGTGAGCGTGGGTTCTAACCCCGCCACTCCTTTCCCCCTTGTAATCCAATAGACCAAAAAAAAAAAATGGAAATCAGTTCTAAATGAAGTGGTGTTTATCCTTTGGAGACCTTGGTATTTTCATTTTCAAAATTTTTTCTTTCATTTTGCAAGCTGGTGCCTATTTTTTAATTTTATATATGATTTGATTTAGGGAAGAATAAACTGAAATAAGAGGGTATAAGTTGAATAAAGTAATCTCCCTTGTTCTTCTACTTCCCTCCAATGTAGGCAACCAACTAAACTAAAGAACGTGATTCGAAGAAGTTTGGGTCAGTGATTTTTATCAACAAAAGAACACTCAAGTTTTTGCGTAATGGTGTAAATGAACTAGTACATTTTGTAGCCGTGACCAGATTCAGATATATTCGTTTGATAAGGCAAATAAATGATTTCAAACAAAAATTTAGAGCTCGTTTAATAAATTAATCGATTTAGAATTAATAGGTCTCCACCACCACCAAGCACCAATAGCGCAGTTCTCTCTAATTTCTTATCTTTGGGCTAAGAGTTCTGGAAGGCACTATTGTATTTAGCAA